AAGAACAGCTAAGGCCTTCACACACTTAAAGAAGCAAGCAGTCATCCAACACCTGCTGCTGAAAGTGCTTATCGGCCATGCTTTTATAGTTAATCTCTGTGCGATAAAGTTGTCCTTGTATAAAAAGAGCTCTCAGTGCTTTTGCGATGATGTAGGAGGGACAGGAATTCTGCCTGCTGTTTGATTTTCCATGTTGGGAGAGGAAAGATTGCTGTTACTTTATCAGACACAGGCTGGATTTTTATGTGAAAGAGGTCAGGGTGAGGACTTCTGTTTTACTGTTGAAAGTCTTTCTCTCTGTGAAATCACTGATCAGGTATGTGCATGTGAAGATTTTCAGCTCCTGGACAGACGTTCAAGGTGGAAACTCTTAATTGCTCCAGGTAGAACTTTTCTGAGTGAAAAAATTGGTAAAGTGGGCTGGTGATCTTTTTGACTTTGTAAATACTTGTTGGCTTTCCATGCGATCTATTTAAAAGAGTGCTCAAAAAAATGGCCTTGTCTTGGGAATGTCTTAGAAGTGCACTTTGCATGCAACAAAGTAATACTGCCTATCTGCCTCAGTCTCCATTTTATTTTGCTCATAAAATGTTAATTGCCTCATAAAATGTTAATTACATTCATTTTGATTTCAAGTAGATACTGCTCTTTGGATAGATTTGAATTGCATATGAATAGATGGTTCTGTTAAATGTTTCTTAGCCTCCTTGTTTGTTCATGGACTGTGCTGTGGAGGAAATAGTCAGATTGAAGGTTTGTACTCTTCTTTCAGTATATTCAGTTTAATAAACAACATAGCTTTAGCATCTAAATGATTTTCTCTGTAATGTGTGCAAGCATTCTACAACAGAATTGAAAATCTCAAAAGTGAGTCCTTCCAGATGTTTTAACCCCACAAGGTGGCAGCAGATAACTTCCTCTTCTGTTTTGAATTACCATGCATAGGAATTACAAAATTGATCACATATGTTTTTAAAAGTTTATAATGATCTGTTATCCCCTGCTTGACCTGGATCTGATGTTAACAGTGATGTGCTTGAAGATCTCAGCAGGGTTATTCTTAGGTTCTTACTCCATTATTTGTGGAATGTTGTTGGCCTAACATTCTTCAATGTGCTTGCACATTGTCACAATCTGAATTTTAAGTAATTTCAAAATGGTTTCTCTTCAGATCGTATAAATCTTTTGCCTTTAAAATTGTTTTACTCCTCTTTCATGCTTTATTAATGCTGTATTGTTTGAACTGGGAAATAACGCCTTAGGACAGAAATAAGGGTTTGGGTTTCTGACACAAATTGGGCAATGAAGGCCTTCTATCATGATTCATAACTTATTAGTTATGGAAGCTGTGCTGTTGCACCCAAGCTGCTTTAAATGTCTTTAGTGTTAACGTGTCCTGACTTTCTTATCAGTTTGGGGTTTTGCTGGATTGCTTTCCTGTTTGAGCAAGGAACCCCACAGAATCAATGTCCATGCTATTGCATTCAAGAAATGATAATGATTTATTAATTGGTCTTGGGCTTATATCCACCCACAACAAAGTCCATACTTAAAGTTTTAAGGTAATTGGTTATTCTTGAAGTTGTTGATTGTGGATAATTCTGGAGACGAAGGACAGATGAAAGTTTCTCTTGCTCACTTTCTCTGGTAGAGGGGCCTCAGGGGCACCCAATGCCAAAGGTGATCAGGCCGAGGTAGAGAGAGCAAGTCCCTCCTATTGAGGCTTGACACCTCGCTAAATGTGCTGGAAACTCCATAGACTGTCACTGACCAGAGGTAGTCCAGAATAGCTGGATGAGTTCCCAGATTAGTTAGTTAGTTATTGGCTTGAAATGGCCTGTCCAAGCCTGAATCTTGCTGGGACCAACTACAGACATGTCTTGCTTCCAAGATTCCCTGGTGGTAATAACCCTAAACTAAAGATGGCTCTCTTTCCCTGGGCAAAAGGTTGGGCAAACTTATTGATCCAAACTAGGAAGGGTTTTCTTAAGCTCTACCCTTGTAAAACTAACAGAAAACTGACTATTCTCAAACTGTGGATGAGGCAGCCTAACAAAAGCAGCTAGAACTTATACAGTTCCAACACAGTAGCAATTACAATTATTTCTTGTAATTGAGGTGAGAGCGCTTTAATGAAAAAAGTAGGCCACAGCTATAAAATAAAATATTTTCTGTACTTTCCTATTTCGTTACCACTGTGCTATTACTGAATCTAATTTGTTAACTATATCTTTTGAGGTTTAAGCAAAGAAACAGAGAAAAAAAGTACAAAAGGTTAAGATGAGGAAAGCAGCAATTGTGATTTATTATTTTTTCTGCTGCTGTACAATCCAATCACAGAAATATAATCCAACTGTTGCAAACATTAGAATGTCATGATGACATTAACTTTGAGAATAATGTTATTGGCTTATTTAGATACCTCCCTAAAAACATTCAGTCTAGATAACCATTGAAACTAATTTATCAGCATAATAAATGTTAATAATTCCACAGAAAAGTATGTGCAGTTGTGCTATTTATTCATCTGAGTATCCAAAAGAACACCATCCAACAAAATAGCTATGCTACTTGGCAAAATATATTGGAAAGAGAACTCGACACAGCTAGAAAACACCAGTTCTGTAGCCAGTTTTTTTTCTAGTTTCTCAAAATGACAGCAAAGGAAATCAGACAAAATGATAAAGAGGGGAGAGTTAATAGTGCCAAGCATCTCATTTGTCTGGTGTCTGCCTTTTGCGTAATATTGAAACTGACCTGCTTTAAATACTCTAGAGTCACATCTTGTCTCTCACCTCCAGGACTTCTGACTTGGTCTAGTTAATTGACTATACAGATATTTTACCAAAATTATTAATCAACTGCATCAAAACAGGGGTTGACTGCTGGAGTTTTTAAAATGAACAACTTAAGATCACTTGTGAAAATAATGGTTTCAAATTCTAAACTGATATGCACCAATCCATTGATCCTGAAATTAACAGTACATGGCAATGATTCCAAGCACACATTGAATTTTAAAGGAGAGAAAACACATAATTACTAGTCATAACTCAAACTCGTCATAACTCAAACTGTTGGTGCTAAATATACAAATTTTATACATTTGAAATATCTTAGGAAACCCAATATATACTGTAGAAATAAACAGCCAGCAAATGTTTCTCAAAAGCCTTCTCACCATATAAAGAAATAAAGACTGACTGATCAGTTCTGTCTGAATTTAAAGCAGTCAAGGCCACTATCAATCAAATATTATTGGCGAAATATTTCTAAGTCCTTCTTGGTTTGAAGTTACAAAAAAGAAAATGACTTTTGTAATCTATGAACTAAAGTAGCTGAATATTTTGATATCAACATTAAGGAAGGATTCAAAATCATCTTATTCTGGGTTATCAGTATACAAAGGGATCTTGTAGTGCCTTAGAGACTGAGAGAGCAATGTTGGTAGCATAAGTTTTCATAGACCAAGAGTGCATCTACATTGCACAATTAATGCAGTTTGATACCACATTAACTGCAATGATTCAGTGCTATCAAATCCTGGGCATTGTAATGAGGCACCAGCACTCTTTGGCAGAGAAGGCTAAAACTACAGCTCCTGTGAGCTGTAGTTTTACCAACTCATCAATCCCTACAATCCATTTCAATGTAAATTATTTCAAAACAGAAATACCTATCTCCTGTATGTGCTTCTAAGTTTTACCCTTGATTTTTGCATGTCTTAGGAGCCCCCGGTGGCACAGTGGGTTAAACCGCTGAGTTTGTTGACCAAAAGGTCACAGGTTCGAATCCGGAGAGCGGTGTGAGCTTCTGTTGTCAGTTCCAGCTTCTGCCAACCTAGCAATTCAAAAACATGCAAATTTGAGTAGATCAATAGGTACCTCTCCAGCGGGAAGGTAACGGCGCTCTATGCAGTCATACCAGCCACATGACCTTGGAGGTGTTTACGGACAATGCTGACTCTTTGATTTAGAAATGGAGATGAGCACCAACCCCTCAGAGTCGGACGCAACTGGACTCAATGTCAGAGGACAACCTTTACCTTTACCTATGCATGTCTTATATCAAAATCCATAATTTTGATCCCCAAACCTGTCTTCAACCTGAGATAGATTTATGTACAAGTCTATATGGTAGCATATATTTCTTGAATTGTGACCTGTAGTTATTAATTCCATTAAAATCACTTCCACTGTTTATACTGCTTATGATAATGTTACAGACTCTGAGAAAGCTTATTGTATCACATATAAGTGAAAATGTCTTGAGTATTGTGTAAAGTATCTGTGAAATCTAACTGAGCAAAACCTAAAGTAACTGGGATGGTAATTTCTGAGGCATTTGTTGTTTAAAAGTGGGATAAAGAGGAGAATGAAACAGAATGACTAATCACACCTCATCCCAACTGGAGGTCTCAAATTTCTCAGTTATACCTGTGTTGCTCTTGGAATTGTAGAGCTACATGCATTTTAGTATACTTTGCAATTTCTTTTAATTTGATTTAGGAATGCATTATGATATTTCTCTTCATGTCTTCTTTTTTAATGTAACACAAAAATACATAGATGTGCAACAGTCAGTTTGAAATGTCATAGTCATAAAATAAAACCTACTTACATTTCATTTCTTCACATGAGTACAGAATGCCAAGATCAAACAATTCAGCTGTATTCTCTCTATTCCTTACTTCCCCGTGTTTCCGAGAAACGTGCAAATGACTTGTTAAGATTTCCAGTTATGTGAAATACATCAATAATATTCTGAAAATTCTATATCTAATCCTGTATCCTAAATAGAGCCATAATGTTATATTTGGTTACCATATTAATACCCAATAGATTGGTTTCCCATGCAAATGTAAGACATGTGAAAACGTTTTTTGTAATTGCATATTTCTGGGATTTGAGCAAAGCTTCTGCCTGTTTAAAAAGGCATACACTAATATTTTGCCAGATTTAAAACAAGTTTCTCTTCCCTTCCCACCTCCATTCTTTTAGGTCATATTTAACTCCAGTGCGAGATGAAGAAGCAGAATCTCTGAGAAAGGCACGATCCAGACAGGCTCGCCAAACTCGCAGGTCGACACAGGTGAGAAAAGTAATTCCTGTCATCCCATCATCCTATCTTTCCCTCCAGATACCATATCAATAAAATTAAAAGTATTTCTAAGCAAGCAGGGCTTTTTTTTTTAAAACCCAGCATTTAAGCATCCTGGTAAATGAATTGCCTTTCCCCAAAGCAGTCAGAACAAAAATATCTTCACCTGCCTAGCAAAGGAATTGTAGAGCATGACAGCAGACACCAAACAAGCCCTCTCCTATCTTCCTGTTAGATGTACCTGTGAGAGTAGTGGGATAGAGGTAACAGCCTCCTAAAAAATCTTAAGACATGGGCAGGCTTCTATAGGTTATAAAGAGTTAAAATGTTGAGCCATATTATTTAATTCAAACAAACTCAGGACTTTTCTATTATATTTCACAGTGAAGATGCTCTTACTCAGCTTTGATCACCAAAGGCATGTTTTGAATTTAAAATGTATAGGGTTCTAGAAAGCTCAAGCTTAACAAATCTCCAAAACAAGAATAACAGGATCCCCAATTATAGCCAAGGGATCTTGAAAAGTTAATTTACCAGAGATAAGAAGTTTTATGACAAAGAAAATATATTTTTTTAATTATATAGAAGACAGTAGAGACAGGGTAGGAAGCGTTAGTTAGGGCTTTCTATTTTCCATTTTTACTTTGCTGTCTCATTTGTTTCAAGATACTGTACACCCACTTTTCTATCCTTCTGATTTAGATTTGAAAAAAAAGGTTATTTTCCCTCTTTTCTTTTTTAACATCATAGAAACCTTTTTTGTATTGGATAACAATGGAAGAAGACAAAGATGTAAGATGTTAAAATGCCCCTCTTTGTGAATATTCTAATCTTTGGAGTTGGGTTAAAACTTTTTTTGGAAATCCATTGGCATCTTCTTTTGTGAAGATTTCTTATAGTGCCTCCTTCAGCCACTTTCTCTTTTAGTATACTGTTGCTCATAGCCCTTTTAGTTGATTTCCTGTTTTCTGTATCTAAAGCTATATTTCTATAGTGTTCTCTATGATTTTCTCTGAGGCTTTATTTCTATGGTTAATTTTTATAGTTCCTCTCTTTGGTTACTTCCTATCTTATTTTTTGTTTGGAATCAGTCCAAAAGTTCAATGCGGTCCAAGAATGTTATGGCTATCTGGTTTAACATACTGTTAACTACTTTTGATTCCCATGGTTTTTATAGCATAATCTTTAACAAACTAATTCACTTTCATCCTTTGTGGTTGGTCTCACCAGATAGTTTCATCGGGCAGACATAGAACATTCTTGAAGAATAGTTGCACTAATTGGATTTTTAAAGTAGCTTTTTAATCTCTACAATTTCCAAGGGAGGAAGAAATAATACAGTTTACCTCTCAGATAGGTTTTTGTCCACAAAGCTTACAGCAGATTTCAGCGCATCTTTTAGGGGTTTTTTTTCAGACCTTGTATAAATATAGTATTTTAAGAAGTGAATCAAAACGGCATCTGCTTGCATGACAATGTCGTTGGGTGTTTGTCAACTCCATGTGACTGATAAACCCCCAAAGATGTCCCAGTTCTCAGCCAGCCTGCTGAGACACTGCTCACAGCTTCATTTTCTTCACCGGAAATCTGTGCTTCGTCATTCTTGAAATGGTACCTTTTTTTATTGAAGCAGAGGTTTAATATATGAAACGTTATGTAAACAAATGCATGTATAATAGATATAGCATATTCTTATTTTTTAGGGTGTAACGCTTACAGATCTTCAGGAGGCAGAGAAAACCTTCAGCCGGTCTCGGGCAGAGCGGCAAACTCAGGAACAACCAACTGAAAAGTCAGAAAGAACTGAAGCAACAGAGGAAGGGATTGAGAAACGAGAAGATGGTGCAGCAAATGAACTCAGGGAGACTCGCTCACGATGGAGTAAAAACTTGGATGAAGAGGTAAAAGCAGTTATTTCTTCATGGCTTGAAACAAACAATATGGTTTCCAATCCAAAGTGTTGTTTACTATTTTAAGGCCCACAATACCTGAAAGTCTATATTGAATTGTATGATCCTGCTCCAGTAATAAGATCTTGGTGGGAAGCATTCTCTTAATCCCACAAACATCACAGTTACATTTGGTGAAGCCACCGGAGAGAACCTCTCAGTGGCCGCTCCCAGGTTTTGGAATTCTGTCCTCCAGGCAGTTAAAGCAGTGAAAAACAAATAAAAGAATCAGGACTGATTAGTTGATAACAGCTCTCTCTGTAACAATTGTATAACTACAATTAGGGCAAGGGATTGTAAGAGAACACCCCCCCCCCCCCCCCCATATTTGTACAGACGTGGGTATAACCTTCTCTCGATCCCACCTCTATATCTATCTCGGTGGCTGTCCCTCAACTCTGGAAGTCCCTGCCCAGGGAAGCCAAAATGACCTCTTCCCTGTTGTCCTTCAGGTAGCAGGTTAAAATCTCTTTTTTTCAGGCAGGCTTTTAAAGAAGAGGGTTTTTAAGATCGTCAGGGCCTGCTGTGATTTTGTATTCTTTTAATCATGTTTAATACAGTTTTAATACTTGTATATTTATATATTTTAAGTTGTATTGCAGTGCTTTTAGTTGTGAGCCACTTTGAGTCTCCATATGGAGAGAAAAAATTGATAATAATAATAATAATAATATAGTGACAGCTTTATTTTTAATTTCTTTTCTGATGGAATTTGTATTTTTCATGGCAAATGTGCACTGACCAACATTTTCACTGAACTGTATATCATTGTAGACGTTTTATTTCTTTGTATTATTCCGCATTCTAGATTTTGATCTTAGATTTTCATCTCTTCCCACAGATTCAAGGATATGTGTCATACTTTTTCTCTACTAGGAAATTTCTATGCAAATGTGCATATATTCTAGACTCTTAAATGATACAGATAGTATTCAGCTTAATGGTAGTTAACTGTAACTTAGATTGGGTTCTGCAATGTAAATACATATGGAACATAAAACTTAGGTAGATAAGGAATTTGACCATGAGATCCTATTTTGGTTACTATCATGGCATCTAGATTAAAATATATTGTTTCCATACCTTGCTAGTGAACACCTTTCATCTGGAAATCTTACGTTCTCAATATGAAAGACCATGGGGATCCAGAATAGATTTTCATAGTCATTTACCAATCCACCGCCAAGACTACCTCTGAAAGACATTCATACCTGGCCACAAGTGATCTCTCATGAGTTACAAATAAAATACTCTTGCTAGTTTTCTTCTTGGGCATATGTATGTGCCTTCAAGTGACCTGTAAACTTTGGACAATCCCATTCTTACTAACCTTTTTTCTTCCCATGCTTACCTTGTAGTCTGTGGGTCATCGATTGAGGTGTTCAGCGCAACAAGACAAATCCACAACCCCAACCTCTCCTTCCTTAGCTCCGTATCTTTATTCGACTTCTCACCTGCCTAGAACAAGTAAATCTTCTGACATAGTGAGCCCAGAAGACTTCCAAAGCACATCTGCAGATGATATGGAGAAAAATGGTATTATTATTATGAATACACTATATTGTACAAATTGTCTAAGTCAGTGTCTGTATTGGAGTGGGTAGTGACTGGATACTCTTGAACTGTAGTACCCATCATCCTTCACCATTGGTTGTGCTGGGAGCTGATAAAAGTTCAAGAGCAGGGTGATAAGATTTCCAGTCCTGTAGAGAATATGTCTCTTACTGGTTTTATTGTAATGTTTTGGAGAAATTTAACATCTTCAGTATAGATTCATTAAAAAGTAAAAGAATTATTTTTTTTTGAATAGGAGTCCATTTTGAAAGGCTCATAGCAATCACCTAAATTTTTCTTTAACCACATCACCATAAAATAAATCTGCTATTCAAAGGAGCCCCTTGTTTGATCATTTGGATTTTAAAGACAAAATATATATTTTTAGATATTCAAAGTAAAAAAAATGACACAAAGACCATTTTCTTCTTTTTTTTGAAAAATGATTCTATAATTTTAAGAATCTAATTTGTATGGCTGTTTCCAGTTTAAGTTATGTTTATTTAAACAGAATATGAAGATCCAGATTTGGATGACAGAACCTCAAACAAGCAGTCAGTTAGAGAAAGGAGACGACCGAAGGAAAGACGAAGAGGCACAGGAATCTCTTTCTTCACAAAGGATGTGAGTAATGCAATTTCTTGGAGATTAAAGAGAACGTCTTTCTCTCTAGAACTAGAATGGTGGGAGGTGGTATATCATAATCTTAAAATATAAAGGCACAACTTTATAAATCCGTTCCAGGTGCTGCAAACATGCCTCTGAGAATTTATGGAATCTTCTCAGTCCCACCCCCAAATAAAAGCGATTGTAAGCTACTTGCCATTTAAAAAAGTACTTTAGGCCTACAGAAGTGGTGTAGAAAACTAGAAAATTGGCATGTGAATGCAGGCTATGGCCTAGAATGGATTTAAATTATAATTTTTTGCTCTAAAGTAATTTGCTTGAATAGAAAGAGAATTAAAGTAATAAGAGGAGAATTTCTGAATCTTTTTATGCCCCTGATTATCCAGATTTTGAATTGGAGGATTGAGTATGTTACATCTATAGTGGCTCTACCAGTAATATTCATCGGACATCTTAGTTTCAAGGATTAGTTTATTATCAGTTTGCTAAACAGTATCTTTTTCTTATCTTCTGACTTCTGTAAAAATCATGAATATTGGTCTTGATAGACATCTTTAAGCAATTTCTCCAGTTATCTAAAGTTTCTCTAGTTTCAATATTATAAGCAATGTTTTTTTAAAAGATGTTGGTAATCTTATGTATATTTTTTATTTCCTAGGATGAGGAAATGGATGGCACTGAAGACATAAAAGAGGACAAGGTAAGCAGAGAATAAAAAGTTTTAATATTCTGTTGTTTCTTCACATCCCTCTCTCATGTCTCCATTTCTGTCATGAACCCTCTTCTCCACCAGGGGCTCCTATTGAAGCTGGCCAATCAGAGACCATATGCAAATAGGACCACAATGGCAGCCAATCAGAATGCTGGCACATACTCCTTCCGCCACACTTTTGCCGCACTTCTGTCCGCTGCATACAAACTTTGACTTTTATTATATACATAGATAGATTTGTTTTTTCACCTAATACCAAGTATTTATTCTGTCTTCTTTTCAGACATGGAAATAAAGAATAAATACCGTATTTTCCAGAGTACTAGATGACTTTTAGGCCCGGAAAATCTTATGAAAAGTCGGGGGTTATCTAGTACGCCGGGTATAAAAATGGGAGGCATATAAAATGCCGCTGCCCGGGACTGCTGGGAGTTGTCGTCCAGAGGCTCTTCTTTGGGCCTGGGTGTGCCCGGTGGTCTTCGGAGGCTTCTGGCAGCCACTCAGGTGGCCTTGCTTCCTTCCTCTCTCCCCTGGCTGCCTGCAAATAGCAACGTGGGAGGATTTGATGGGCCTTGAAAGTAGAGCAGGGAGGGCAGTGGCGGCGGCGGGGACAAGTCCCTTAGCGGTGCAGCCTGAGGAGGAGGACAGAGGGCGTGAGGAAGAGGAGTGCCAGACCCGGTGGGCTGCCCACACCCCTCTCCCCACTCTACATTCAAAGCCCTTCTCCAACTCCTCCAACGTTACCATTTCCAGGCAGCCGAGAGAGAGAGGAAGGAAGCAAGGGCACCCGATTAACTGGCAGAAGCCTCCGAAAACCACTGGTCTTGCCTAGCTTCCTTGCTTGTCTAGCTTGCCTTGCTTCCTTCCTCTCTCCTGGCTGCCAGCAAATAGCTATGTGGGAGGAGTTGGAGAAGGGCCTTGAAAGGAGACTGGYGAGAGCGGCAGGGGCAGCCAACCAGGCATGGCACTCCTCTTCCCCGCACCCTCCCTCCGCCCTCCTCCTCCTCCGTCCTCCTCCCCCTTTCCTCCCTTGTCCCCCCTCCTCAGGCCACACTGCTACCGCTGCTCTCCCCAGTCTCCTTTCAAGGCCCTTCTCCAATTCCTCCCACATAGCTATTTGCAGGCAGCCAGGAGAGAGGAAGGAAGTAAGGCAAGCTAGACAAGTCCGGTGGTTTTCAGAGGCTTCTGCTAGCTGATTGGGTGTCTTTGCTTCCTTCCTCTCCCGGCTGCCTGGAAATGGCAGTGTTGCAGAAGTTGGAGAAGGGCTTTGAAAGCAGAGCGAAGAGAGCGACAGGGGCAGCCCAGRGGGCCTGGCGCTCCTCCTTTCRGCACCCTCCCTCTGCCTTCCTCCTTCGCCCTCCTTCTCCCCCCTCCCTCCTCCTCCTCAGGCCACACTGCTAAGGGACTTGTCCCTACCGCCACCACCACCCTCCCCACTCTACTTTCAGGGCCCTCCAAATCCTCCCACGTCGCCATTTGCAGGCAGCCAGGAGAGTAAGGAAGCAAGGCCACCTGAGCAGTCGGCAGAAGCCTCCGATGGTCACCGGGCTCAGCCAGGTCCAAGGAAGTGCCTCCAGACTATGACTCCCAGCAGCCCCGGGCAGCGGCATGCCTTGAACATGCCCGCTGAGGCATTCTAGAAGTCGTAGTTACCGAATCAATATAATTGTGTTGGTATACTCTTATATGGCGAGTGTATCCCTAACTCTCTATTTTAACTTGAAAAGTTGGGGGTGGTCTTATACATCCAGTCGTCTTGTACCTCGGAAAATATGGTACTATAAATTGTGCTTCAGTTTTGTTGTTGCACTTTTCTTTATTAGTTTATTTTTTTTATTTTTACTAATTGTTGTGATGAAGTGATAACTTACGTCACAGAGTGCTTTTGGCACTCTTACTGTCATGCCAGCTCCTCTTTTGCCTTCATAGTCCTTTATCCTCACTGCTTTGGATGCAGCTGGCTGGGACTTTGTTCATGAGTACCCATGATGTTACTGTATCAAGCTTAACATCATGATGTCATTGGCAAGAATCACTCATTCTCAACCATCTGTGAGTTTAAATATATTGGCCCCAGAAAGCGAAAGACTCTGAAGGCATAGAAGGTGTAGTGAACAGTTTCAGAGTAATTCAGTTGTATTTATAACAAATATTTTTTTTAAGTGGACAGTATTTGGATCTGCGCGCATCATTCAAAAATGCATCACACAGTCCTAGACGCTTGGGAAGTGTTCAACTTGTAATTTTGTGATACAAAATCCAGTATATATATATCTTGTTTGCTATGACATACTGTGTTTTTGTGTCAATAATAATAACAATATTTTTGTACCCTGTCTCCATCTCCCCAAAGGGACTCAGGTGGCTTACATGGGGACAAGCCTGAACAGCATAATTAAAATATAGCACATTAAATATATAATGTCAACATAATATCAAATAAAACAACAGCATTATAACAAAAATATAAAAGCAAACATCAACCAACAACCAATGAGCCCTGCAATAACAATCAATTTCTAGGAATGGGTGGGCGGACTGGTGCAAAAACAATTGTGAGGAGAGTGATGAATGAAGTGCATAGATATGGCAACAGTGGAGATAGACAGCAATATGGGAATAAAGCACTATAAATTTAAGTGCTGATGGACAAGCAAATATCCAGATTTTGGGGCATTTAGAGGGGAAAACATGAACCTGGGAAGGTAGTTTTGGACCTACCAATGTGCCACTAATAATCTTTTATTCTTAATAACACTGCTACACAAAGTGAGGATTCATGTGTCAGTACTTGTCCATCAGTTGGAGACTTTTCAGGAAAGAAGGAAAAAATGTTATTCAGAGACACATATATGCCAGCGGTCCTTGACATACTGTACTGGCAAAACAGAAATGCCAGGTGCTGTCATCAGGCAGCTTCAGAGGTACTGCAGTAAGAACAGAAAAGTGCTGTCCTCTGTTGCTTCCAATGTGGCTGGCATTGAAAGACATTTTCCCCTCCCTCCCTCTCTTTCACACACACGAACCTTTTGCCATGCACCCCTCATCAAGTTAGCGAAAGACAGAGCATCAGTGAAAGACAGTGAGTTGATCTCCTCCAGTGATTACACTAACCAAGTGCTTCCTAAAGCTCAGATTAGGCAGATTTGGAGAAGGATCCTGCTCCCTCTTCTGAAGGATGCACCCTCGCAGATCCCATCCTCCCTGCTGTGACTGGCATCTCCAGGTGGACAGGTGGAGGTGGGGGGAGATCAACTCCCTGTCCGTTACTCCAGACTCCTCTTTGCTGCTCGGGTTTTGGGAGAGGGAAAAGGTCTTGGGGGACTGACTGCAAAACCCTTCCTTCCCCCAATTTTAGCAATGCAAAATGGATCGAACGTTTTGTCCTTCTAGAGGAATAATCAGAAAACGTTCATTTTATAGCCAAGGTCTTTTAGGAAGCCTATTCAGAATGTGGGCAGAGCTTCTCAGATTTTCCTGATTTGGTTTCATAATTCTAACATGTAGACAAATGTAGTCAGTCTCATATTCTTTATATTACAAGCGTGATTGTGAGCTTCCTATGTTATATCTTGTAGTGTATGTGTGGCTTTCATTATACCGTGTGTGCAGGACTACATTCACTTCTAAGTTTCTAATTTTATTGTTAATACATTAGTTGAAAATGATATCAATAGTAGTTGTTAAGGATGTTAATTTTTAAAATTACAGCTATAGTTTTAATGGATGGGCGACTAAATCAAAAAGTGTAGTATGTCTAAGGGTAAACTGGAGATCCAAACATGTGTTTAGAATTCATGTAGCCGGAGTTCAGTTGCATTGTACGTATGAAACAGGATGTTGATCACCCAATTTTGGCTTCTTTGAACTAATGGTCTTGTTCTTCTACTTTCGGAGATGGCAGTATTAAGAGATTAGCTTTTAAAGCTCTTGTGTGTATTGCACTTCCTTTGTGTCCAAAATTCTACACCTTTTGTTTCATAGTACATTTAGTACCACAATAGAAACCCCTCTTGGCACCCCTAGAGCCACGTTCCTGTCCTCTATTTAATTATCAGAAACGTGTTTGCTGTCCAAGAGCATAGTATTCATTAGGTGTATGTAGATTTGTCTCTGAGAGTTCTTTTTTACTTCTGGAACCTTGACTACCTAATATGGTGAGGTATGTCATAGTTAGACACTCTTGCATTATACTCCAGGGCAACAGAGTTTGTTCAGTAGTAGCATTAAGGTAAGCTTCATACTGGTTAACATGGAACAAGTACTGTTTGCAGTTTTTGTAGTTACATGTTATGCTCTTAACTATTTTTGAAAATATCATTACATATTTCCTTTTTTGGGAATTCAAGGAGCATAGCCTTGAAATACATTTTCCATTTTCTGAATTTGTTTTGATACTTCCTAGCAGAACTGTAGTGTAATACTGGGAAAGCTTTCATTCTGGCTTATGTCCATAGCAGTGTGGGTGGGAAGAGAAGCTTCAGATAATCACAATAATATAAGGCCCTTAGTTTAGAATAAATGTGGGCACTTGTTTTGGAATGCTAGTCTTTTAATCACAGGACTGTATGATAATCAAAGAGCACTAAAAAGTAGATTGCAGGTCTGTTTCCCTGAACTCTACATAGTCAGAAATTAGACTTATAAATCAGACCTCCTTAGGGCTTAAATGCAGAAAAGTGGTTGAAGGTTATTAATTTATAGCAATTCTAACCTAAGGGCTATTTGTGTGTATAGTGAGTTCTTGTCTCATTATCAGCAAGGGAGTTGGGACACTCCTTATTTTCTTGGTACAGATTTTTAAAACATATTTTACATCAGTGTATTCCATTTGGTATATTTTGTACAAGTTTAAATTCTGTGCATGTAGATCAGTCAGACTTAAATATGACAACTAAAGAGCTCTACAAATTTTCTGCAATAATAAATTCAGGAGACAAGACTGTTCCAGCCTGGGATATGAGGTAATGGCTTTCCATGGTGGTTCA